AAATAAAGCACAGTTCATTTTCAGTTGTGAGGAACCTCTGTCACCTACCTGTAGCTAGAACAATGCTGCGATACTTCTTATACCTTGATTCTTCTGCTTTTTAGCTTTTGACCGTGTGATCTGTGTGTTGTTCAGGTTCTGCTTATGGAGTATCTTGATGTGAAGAACAGTCGCAGTGCCACGGAGCCGTCGGCTCAGCTCTCTTATGCCAGTACTGGCAGTGAGTTTGCTGCCTTTTTTGCGAAGAAGAAGCCACAGCGTGCCAAGCAGTCTCTTTTCAAGTGAGGATCACACTCTTCTCTCTGTGTTGTGTTTGTCCAGATATAAAGGGTTTCTCTGAAGATAAAAAAAAAAACAAAAATCAAGTCATCCTGTATATAAGAGATATGTTTGGGCAGTATCATCTTGACAGCATTTCAAAACATCTTAAATTTAAATATCTGAAAAGGCTGAAAATGTATTTAAGGTTACATTAGTCAGCTTAACATTCCAAACTAACGTCACTGGGCCACATTCACCAACCGTTCTTAAGAATAAATTTGTTTGTAAAACCCACATTCACAAACATTCTGGCTTTCACCAATGTTTTCTTATCTGGGATATCACACTTACGCACATTTGGGTGCTGACATTTGTAGTTATTTTGTTTTCTTCAGTTCTACCGTTATATGTTATAAGTATGTAAATAATGTAATGTAAATTAGAATAATGGTTTTGTCATTATTAGTATTTTTCTTATGTTTGTTTTGTTGTCTCAGGTTTGAGTTCCAACCATCTTTTTAATTCATCAGTTGTGCTCCCTTCTTCTTATACAGTGTTCACTGAACGAGTAAGGGCATCCCATGCATCTTTTTTGTTTTATTTTATGTTTGGAGTTCGTTGCTCCACCGTCTTTAGATTTTCTGTGTAGCGTTCCTGGCTTTTTCAACTTCTCTTTTCTGTTGATGTGCGACTCTTGTATGCACACATCTCTACAGTTCATGCCCTTTTATGGGCACTGTTGGAGTTGAATCATTTTAGCTGTAACTGTAGATTTTTTTAGGACCTTTCTTAAGAACAACCTACGAAGTAATTTAAGAAAACGCTTAGGAAGACGATGGTGAATGTGGCCCATTGGTGTTTGGAATATTTTCCTGTAGCATCCTTTTGAAATGCATATTGTACTGTTGTGTTGTGTGCCCACTTGTTGAACCCTTTGTGTTTTTTTTTTTTAGGTTTGAATCATCTTCCCATGCCATCAGCATGAGTGCCTACTTGAGAGAGCAGAGACGAGAACTCTACAGCAAGAGTGGGGAATTACAAGGTGAGCATAGGGATGCACTGAGGAATGGAGGGCTGGAATTGACACAGTGGGGGAACAGAATACTCCTGGCCAACTGGAATAGTGGATAGATAGCAAGATGAAGGGACAGGAAAAGAGTAAGTAAGTATGGAAAGTATTAAGAGAACAGTGAAAAAGTGGGACAATGACAGAGAAAGTTAAAGGTGTGACGGTTGAGTAAAAAAAAAAAGACCAGAATAGAACAGAAAAAAATAGAGACCTACTGAAAAGACAGATGGAGGCATGGTGGGGCAGTGGTTGGAGCTGTCACCTCACAGCAAAAAGGTTCCAGGTTCCGCTTTCTGTGCAGAGTTTGCTTGTCCTCTCTGTGCCTATGTGGGTTCTCTCCGGGTACTCCAGCTTCCTGCCACAGTCCAAAGACATGCAGCTTAGGTTGACTGGCGACTCTAAATTGCCCGTAGGAGTGAGTGTGAGTGTGTGGTTGTTTGTCTGCATATCAACTCTGTGATATACTGGTGACCTGTCCAGGGTGTACCCCGCCTCTCCAACACCACCCGCACGACTCTATTCAGGATGAGCGGTATAGATAATGGATGGATGGATGAAAAGACAGATACATGAGTGGAGGGATTATGAAGAAACAGCAAACAAATGTGTGTCTTTCCTTGCTGGAGACATGAAATGGAGAGCATAATTAAGAAAAGGTGCAGGAAGGGCATGTTGCAGGTTGAGAAGCTAGACTTAAGAATGGCAGGAAACAATAGTGTGGAGAGGGAAAATGCCATGGAGAGACTGACAAGAGGCAGAGAGTAGGGTGACTTTGCAGAATCTGCCTACAGGGAGAGGCCTTGAAAACCTCTCACTGACACATTCACACACAAAGGAGCACAGTGAGTGAGCTACACAGCCAGACCCTGGAGAGGCTGTTGTACTGCTCCTACTTCTTCTGTATCTCTCTCTCTGGCTCTCTGTTCCTCTGTCTGTGACCTTGAGGTTTCAATCAGCAGTGCTTGACAGTGCTGTCTGTCTGCTTGTGTTCCCCATTTTCACAGCCAGCTTTTAAATGACATTGCTTGGGTAAGATAGAAAAGGTAAAAGATGAAGCAAGAAAATAATTGTGAAGTTCTTTTGATCTAGAGAGACTACTCCACAATATGTGCTAAAATTATCCTATCTGCATAACTAATTTTGACTATCGAGAGTAAACTATTTAAATAATTCAGTGTTAATTAGGCTTATGCCTGACTCCAGAAAACATTTCAATGCAGGATGTAGTCCTTTTATTTCACAAAATATGCCACTCTTACAATAGCTATCTGTAAATGTATGCAAAAGGTACTAACCTCCACCCATACCCCACCCCTCGCTCCAACACAAAAAGAACAGCACTGATTAACTGTGTATAAAGCAGAAAAAAAACCCAAATGTTCTTCAAATAACAACTCTTTTTTTTTCTCCTTCCATCTGTCAGCAGCTGGGAAAGAAGGGGAAAAATGTTTTTTGACTAGCTGAATGCCTCGGAGCATTTATAGGGAGATGAGATTTCTCTGCACTTTCATTTCACCTGTCACAATGCGTAGCACTGGCCACAAGCCCAGGCCAGGGCCTGAATGGTTACATAAAGAGATTGCAGGAGTAAGAAATCATTTAGAAAGTGAAATAAGTTGACTGTGATGGAGGGAGGGGAAGATGGAGGGAGGGAAGGAGGGAGGGAGAAGAAGGTTAAAAGTCATTGTTTTCATCAGGGTCCAGTGAAGAAGCCATTAAGAGATTTCTGAAGGAAGAAATTAGAAAAATATGTACTGAGATGGTATGGAAAGGGACCTTTTCTCTCTCTTCAAATTAAACTTACTGTAGGGATGGAAGGACAGGAAGAGTGTTAGAAATGAGAGATTGAGTTGATGAGTTCTTCTAGCTGTGGGATTACTCAACAGTTAAAGTTTAGTCATGTGTGTCTCTTATTCTCTCTACTTGGAGTTTCTTAAACTCTTTGTTTTTTTTTCTCAGTGGTCTGCTTCAAGTCAATATTGTTATTAACTCAAATGCTCACCAACGCGGACTTGGAAGTAAAAGTTTGATTGTTCCTTTTAAATCCAGCCATGGAGAGTTAACAAATGCATAAAAATGGTCATGCTCACTAAACAGAGTACAAAGTCATAACTCCACATGCTTTTGTAGTGTTTTCAGGAACTGCTGCATTTTTGCACTTTTTTGAGTGATTCCTTCTATGTGATCGTACCAGTATAAAATTCATTTTTAGCTCTGAAAGGTTATAGCAATGATTTTCTAGCCTATCTACGTTCACATATTTCTAATGAGTTTGAAATTAATCTGTAATTTCTGTAATTTATGTCTCCTGAGTGTTGTATGGACCTGCCATATATCATTACACTCATACACACAGGCACTTAGTCACATGCTGCAAACACACAGAGGGACCTAATTGCTTGGCTTCTCCACTGAAGCACGTCTCCTACACTTCAATTAATCCAATGCTTCATCTAAAGACTTTATTACAGCTCCATATGTAGGCACATCTGGAATATGTGTTCTGAAATTCATGCAGTGAGAGTACTGGCGAGAGTATGAACAATATATACTGTTCATATACACAGCACATCCTCAGCTGTCTTTCCCAATGTGTAAATATTGTTTTAGGGTGTGTTTGTATCCTCAGCAACCCCTGCTTTAGAATCACAGAGCCTCATCCAGATTCATTGTCATTCCCTGTGAGTTAATGATGAAAATAAGTTTTCCAGCTATAGCATGCCCCTATATTCCTCTACACGTCTCCCAACAGCTAGATTTGTACGTTCTCACATTGTGTTTTTTTTTTTTTATTGCCTCTCTGTTGTGTGTTGGCAGCAGATGACTCGTTGTGCCCCCGTGGTCATCTGGGAGGTGAAGTGTGAATATATCTCAATAACTACTGCAGTCTTGAATCACGCTGAGCCAATAATTCATTTACAGCCTTTTTTGATTTTATTTCTCTTTGTGTTGGGGCTGTTCATTGTGTTTCATGTGATATTGCCTTGCCCCAGGGCACGTTTGAAGTGACAGCCTCCCCTGCCCCCCCATATGACAGCCATATACAAAGCCTGTCTATTACCACACGCTTGCCCTGGTTAGCAAACATGCACCCTTCAGACTTCCCTGGTTCCCTGCAGACACACAGGATACATTCCCATTTCTAAATGACTTTATTACAGCTCCATATGTAGGAACATCTGGAATATGTGCTCTGAAATTCATGCAGTGAGAGTACTGGCGAGAGAGGGAGTTTTTCCTCCCCACTGTCACCAATTGCTTGCTCAAGGGGGATTTGTTGGGTTTTCCCTATGTAATAATATTGATAACAGTAAGGTCTAGACCTTACTTTGTAAAGTGTCCTGAGATGACTTTTGTTGTGATTTGGTGCTATACAAATAAAATTTGATTTGATTTGAGTTAAATGTTTCCTAAGATGGATTCATAATCAACTTGGTTCCATCTCTGTTTCACACACACCCTACTTTCCTTTGGATATTCAAATGAAACTTTTCACACAGTGTCCGGCAAACAAAACAGTCTGGCTGAGTTCTCTGTGCAGGCAGTTTTGTTATAAACAGCTTTCCTTCTTTTTGTTTATATGTAATAGCATTGTGTTCTCACAAGGGAGCAACGGGGAATGGGGGAGGAGGAAGAGAGTGGCTGCTGGAGGCAGCCAAAAGTGGTTTCCTTGTCAGGCTGATTTGTACACCCCAATAGGGAGGAGAGGAAGAAGAGGTGCAAATGGAAAAATGTTTACTGATAGACACGAGGGCGGAGGTGCTGGTGGGTAGAATATCTGGCAGATGTTGATAGCCATGTGTTCACAGAAGAGTGTGCGGGTTTGTAAGGTAAAAAAGCAGAAGCAGCATGTTCCAGCCAAACTGGGATTATGATTGCTGGGGATAAAATGTACTATGTTTAGGGGAAGGTCACTTTTCAGGAACCCTTTGACCTTTCAGAATGGTAATGGGGTCATTAGAGGAGGTTTTTGAAGAGCCGCAGCACCCCCATTGACTCAAAAACAACATACTTCATTTAGTTAGCTCTTCAGGAAAAGAAACTTATTTTCCAGTTTTAATCTTTCTCTCAGGCAAACAGTCATTTTCAGATTAGTTCTTCACTCTTATGTCACACTTCAGAAGGACTTTATCCATAATATTGTAATATCACCTAATTTTTTTATCATATTTTTTCCTAAGTATTTTTTCTTTTCATTTGTTGGCAGAATTCAAGGATAATGGTTGTTCACTTGTGGAGTAATCAATACTTGCCTTCCATTGACCTTACAAATGTGATTCATCATATTCATAAATGAAACCCAAGATGGAATTTAACTATGTGAGTAAAAAAGTCAATAGGACTTTATAGGATTATAATGCTCAGCTGTGATTGGTAATCCTGTCTGTTATTTGTATTTCTTTCCTCAACTACTTGTTTTACTTCTTGTACCTTCATGCTCCCTTATGACTTAATGTTTTATGCTTTTTGGTTTTAAATTTCTCTAGCTCTTTGCCATTTGAAGATTGACCTTTGATTAGATTTGTGTGTGAATGTGTAGATCCGTTCATAAATCCAGGCAAATGAAGTCTTGTCAAAGCAAGCAATGTATTTGTTCATATCTTCTCACCATAAGTAAATATCAGTCATATCATTTAAACAAATTCAGTATTTACCATTTTCTGGTTTTCAATGACTGCGTAATATGTGAACAAGCACCATTTTTTTCAGGATGCTTGGTTTTTTTGCATAAGCATCTCATTTAATTTGACTCGGCAGAAAGTCCTCAGACAATTCTACACTTTTAACTATAAAATACTTTTTTTTCCATTCAACCTAAAGTCATTTTCCCCAAATGTGTTTACATTTTTCAGTGTGCAAGAGATTAAATTTGATAGACATAAAGGAGGCGATATTATAATAACTCAGAACTTTGTAGCACATTTTTGAGAAATGTCTCAAACATAATCTTAGTATGAGGTTTGAGGAAATTT